ACCTGGATGACCGCATGGATAATGGCTGCCCTTCTTCCTGGCCCAGGCCTTTTTAAAACCTCCCTGACCTCAGCAGCCGGTCCAACCGAAGCTGCCAATACTGGCTACAAACCGACCAATTTGCATGGCATCCCTGGCTACCTGGGCCCGCGCACAGGGCCGGGTCTTCCCCCCCCGCCCAGGTGACCAGAGCATCGCCTCCCAGGCGCCAGGCTTTTGTCTGCAGACAAGGAGCGAGATCCCCGCTGTGAGGGATTCAATGACCGCCTCTCAGACTGGTGGAGACAGATCTCGGGAGAGGGGCACTGACAGTGGCATTTCTGCCACACTGAGTCTGCTGGTGTTATGTGTGCTCTCCTACCAAAGGGACTGCAAGTAGTCACAAGCCTTGCAATAAAATACCAGGAATTGGGACCACTGCATTAGTGAGTAATAACTTCCTTGTCTTTCTATCAAGCATCTCCAGCATAGGTGGGCTACTTTTTTAGCAGTGATTCCCCCAGTTTGATTCCTGTTGCTTTGAGTGGCCCCAAACAACTATTTTCTCCTGCTTCAGGAAACTATTTGCATTGCATTGTCCACCCTCCCCACAAACCCCCGAATATTTACCTCTGTCCACCTTTGGGTCAGGCAATAAGCACACTAAAAGAAGAAAAAACTTGCAGCAGAGATCAGATCATGGTGGTTACTCTCAGACTTGAATACCAAGAAAGAAATGAGGGTCTGGACAGGCGAAGCAATGACACTAAAAACCCAGAGATAATCTTAGCAACATAGTGCTCTGCAGTGTATGAATTAGAAAACATTTAGGACTGCTTTCTTCTATCACCTTTGTACTAGAAAAACAGACCCTGGGATCCATTCTCGTTCTATCCCCTAGGCACGTCTACACGAGATGTTTGCTGTAGAGCTAATTAGCTCCGCAATGAAAATGTCACCATTTACACACGTGACCTTACTAGGTTGCAGTAGATTAATAAATGCCACCGCAGGGTAGTCCAGCTAAACACAAGCAGTACCCTGTGGCAGCATTGTTTTGTGTGCTACAGCACATGTGTAGGCAGTGACGGGGCTGGCTGGGGCACAAGGGTGCTTCAGCGTAGGGGCTGCCTACTGACCAGCCCCTCTGCAGCACATGGAGCCTGGTCAGACCAGCCCCAGCTGGCAGCCTGACCCCTGGGTCCTCTGCCAGCCTGGGCTGCTCTGGCCCACCTCAACATACTGTGCATGAATAAACTCCGGAGCAATTAGGTCTGGAGTTTATGCATACGTATTAATCACACATGTAGATGTGCCCCGAGTGTGAACTAGTTTTAACTCCACAGAAGACACCAGGATGGATTCCCATCATGCCCATCCCAATGTAAATGGAGAGTAATCTCCCTGGAGTCTCTGAAGCTGATGCCTCTCTCTCTCACAGGAATAAATAGATTAAAGGCATGCCTAAGCCTCGTAGCTCACTGGGCTTTCATGGTTTCCATAGTCAGCAAACACAAGGAAGTGATGTGTGGAGCCTTCTGGGCATTTAACCTTTAACTCCCCAGACCAAAATGCCTGAGTAAACATATACAGCTGGCATTGGCATGGCTCCAATGGACGATTCAAACTCATACTACTTGAGCTGAAGTGAGATGCCTTAAGCCCTCTGCTGGAGTTCTGCGCCCATCTTGTTTCCCCCTCCCAACTCCCAACACGCGCTTTCTCTCTCAGCCCAGTGTAAATCAAGACTAATTCCAATGGAGTCACCAGAGCTGATTTTCTATTTCACTGGTGCTGGTATAAAAATCAGGAGTAGCCTCCCTAGCGACAATTTCTCACTCATTCACCCTATTGTGAATTAGCATCCAGCTTCAGTGCAATCATCATGAGAACAGGACCTGCACAGACACTCACACTCCTCTTTAAGCTCTCCGTTTCCATATTGCCTTGCAGTTTCTCCAGAGCCTCCTGTAGAAAAGTAATATCTTGAGAAAATAACCAAATCCTCCAGTTTGTTTCAGGACGAGCAAGTGCTGAGGGCCAGGCTCTCTCTGTCTCACATCTGGAAAGAGACACAGAGTTATCCATCTCTTGACTATTCAACCTAAGGCATCAGCCAAAAAGCTGGGCTGACAGTCAGTTCCCACCCGCAGGTGACTCCCTTCCCCCTCTGGGCGGGCAAGGGGAAATGTCAGAAGTCTCAGGATTGTGGGCATGGGGTGGGACTGGGAGCTTCAGGGAAAGACACTCCCATGCCTGTCCTCCCCAGGCTCCAGGAAGGTGTGTCCTTCACCTGGTGCCCAAACCCCTTCTCAGCTTCAGGAGTCAGGGCATGAGAAGCCACATACCTGTTCAAGGTGCTTCTGGCATCCTAGAGTGGAGAAAGAAAGAAGGAGTTAAGTCATGTGTGGCCTACGCTTGGGACCTTCCTGCTTTGGATGGACTCCATTAGGTCATGCCCCAAAACAGCCCCACTTCCCTCGGTCACTTCACGTCCTACAGGAGGCTTCAAGACCTAAATCTTTCCGCTCCTGTCAATGACTGGATGAAACCAGGAATAAAGCCTTTGCAGCTGGGTGGGGAAGGAGGGAGTTTTCTCCTATTCAAGTCAGATCAAGAGATTTTTCTTCCCCACAAAGAGCAAATGGCAACGTAGGCATGGAGGTCAGCTGTGGCCAGTGACTGTGCAGGGCTCTGGGGGCTGCTCACACAGTCTCACCTCCAGAAATCCCATTGCTGGCTCCTCACATTTCTCCTCCAGTTCCCTGAGCAGAGCATCAAGACAGGAAAGCTTCTCTGAGAGCTGTGTGATACTTTCATCCTTCCTGGTCTCTATGTCTCTCTCCAGCTATTCCAACCAAGCCAGAAAGAGACGCTCTTGTTTTTCCAAGAACCGGTGCAGTCGCTCAAATTGAAATTGCATCTTCTCTTTCTCAATCTCTGTTTGCTTCTAGAAGGGACACAGAAGGGCCAGAAACATGGATGAAATCATGGAACGTGTCACTTTAAAGGTAGTTTTCAAAGAAGAAAAATCTGTAAGCTACTATATGTTTTATAAAGAAAACCTAAAACTTTATAATTAGTACATTTTTTTTTTCTATTTCTTGACATTAGAAATGTTTTTCTTACCTCTCCTGGAAGACTGTGCACACTAGATAACCTCATCACTGTCTAACACTGAGTCTAGAAGAGAAGGAGGGGTTTAATTCAAAATGTTCAAAACTTTAGCTCCACTGACACCTCATTTAACCTGGCAGATAACAGACAAAAAAGTTGTTAAAATTTCTCCTTCCATATCCCTGGCTCCCCCAAATCTTCCCATAAGCCATAGCTGCAGGGAACTGTTTCAGGTACTGTAGGCTGTAGACATAGTCAGTGACATTGGTGACACATAGGGGGTGCACATGGGTGCACGTGCACCCCCTAAAATTGGCGGTGTACCCCCTGCGATTGGCCATCACCACCATTGCTTGCCACCCTCCCCGCCTTGCTGCCAGTGGCGTCTGTGGGCAGTTGTAGAGCGTCACTGACTACCACTGACACTGCTGGTGGCATCTGCAGGTAGTTGCCAATCGCTAGTCGGCACTCGCCACCATCCCGCTGTCGCCGACACTGCTGTGGCCACCTGCGAGAGCTCCCCACTTGCCACCACCACGCCAGTGCCGCTGCCTGCGGGTGGTCACCGTGCCCCCCCAGCCTCAGGGGCATGCATCGTTCATGGTCAGTGACTGACAGAGACTGACTAGTGCGGACTATGGACCTAGCAAAAGTCTAAGTTATGAATGATATGCTTCTGTAAGGCTTAGGTCAAGCATAGTGCCTGTTCTTAACCTGGCAGGTGAAATACCACATATCTGTCCATGAAGGCAGTTTTCCTAAAGCGCACCCGGGGACAACTGCTCTTCTGGTGTGGTTCAGTACCCGCTGAGGTGCAGCGGCTTTAAGCCCACTTTATGGAAATGAGAGTCTCCGTCCTAGCTTGCTCCGAGGGCCTTATGGCTAAGGGCAAGAAAACTCGGGGGCACCTGTACCCCACACCCCAGGGCTTGGGCCGGCAAGTAGGATCCCTGCCAAAGGATTTGGAAACATCTGAAGCCCCAGGAGTGGCTGGAGGACATTTTCCAGTCATAGGGCTATTTATGATTCTGGACTGCCTCATGGATTTGGAATTGGATTTGGCTATTTTGGCTTGGAACATGGATAAATTTAAAAAAAATCCTAAATAGTAGCCTGGGAAAGTAGAATAAGAATCTGTTTATCAAGTCATTAATATCAGACTAGGTCAGGAATGAATGCCTGCTTGTTGGAGTTTTGTTCTGCCGTTTGATAGCAATTGATTTGTAAGTAGTCAGCTAGAACCCTATTGCAATAATAATGTGTCTCTGTTAACCCGTTGTGCATTATAACTGGCCTGCTCAGCAAAGTAAAGAGAACAGGGTAAGGAGTATTCCCAGATGGTGAAGGAAAGAGATAAGAAGCTCTCTCCCAGAACTGTACTTTTCACAAGGACACAAGCCCCATTTAACTGGTGTCTTTCAAGTCCACAGGAAAACTGGTTCAATCCAATTTCCAAAGTCTCAGTAAAATAAATCAATTTGAATAATGTCAATGAGAATATGACTCAGAGGGTGGTGGTGGATGGGTCATATTCGACCTGGGGGGAAGTGGGCAGCGGAGTCCCCCAGGGCTCGGTCCTTGGGCCCGCACTGTTCAATTTCTTTATCAGCGATTTGGACAATGGGGTGAAAAGCAACCTGTTCAAATTTGCCAATGATACCAAAATTGGGGGTGAGGTGGGCACGCTAGTAGGGAGGGAAAGACTGCAGCAAGACCTGAATAGGTTGCAGGGGTGGGCTAACAAAAACAGGATGCGTTTCAATACTGACAAGTGCAGGGTGCTGCACTTGGGCAGAAGTAACCAGCAGCACACATATGAAATGGGAAACTCCCTTCTTGAGAGCACGGAGGCAGAAAGGGATCTTGGAGTCATCATTGATCCCAAGATGAACATGGGCTGACAATGCGAGGTCACGGTTGGCAGGGCTAACCGGACCCTATCGTGCATCCACAGGTGCATCTCAAGTAGGTCCAAGGAGATGATCCTCCCCCGCTACGTGACACTGGTCAGGCCACAGCTGGAGTACTGCGTCCAGTTCTGGGCACCGCACTTCAAGAGGGATGTGGACAACATTGAGAGGGTCCAGAGGAAGGCCACCCACATGATCCGGGGACAGCAAGGCAGACCCTACAATGAGAGGCTACGGGACCTGAACCTGTTCAGCCTTCACAAGAGAAGGCTGAGGGGGGACGTGGTGACCGTCTAAAAACTCACTAGGGAGGACCAGAAGGGTTTGGGGGAGACCTTGTTTCCCCTAGCACCCCCCAGGATAACAAGGAATAATGGCCACAAGTTGTTGGAGAGTAGGTTTAGATTAGACATCCATAAGAACTACTTCACAGTCAGGGCGGCTAGGATCTGGAACCAACTTCCAAGGGAAGTGGTGCTGGCTCCTACCCTGGGGGTCTTTAAGAAGAGGCTCGATGCCTACCTAGACTTGAAGATCTACAAGGTCCCTTCCGACCCAAGTTCTATGATTCTATGTATTTAAATAACCCATATATAAGTACTTGGTATTAACAGGGAATTTGGGGAAGACCTCAGCAAATTCAAAGCAACCTGCTGCCAGCCTGCATCCTACCTTCCTCCTCTCTCCTGTGTCTCTCCTCAGCCAGTATAAGTGAAAATCTGTATTATGCTATTGCAGGTAGCTAGATAGGCATAGAGACAAGTGGTTATTCTAATGTTTTCAGGGTGTTGTCAAGAAAAGATTGGGTTATAGATCTGTCTTACCTCTTTATCTGACTTGGGTGGCAGAAGTAGCTTACCTGCTAAGGGGGAATGGAGGAGCACTGGAAAATGTGATTGTATCTTGACTTGCTATATAGAAAGGGTAATCTGGAAGGGAATTGTAACTGTCTTTGAATTCTATGTCTAAGCCTGCAGAGAATAGACAGGCTGTAGTCTTGTCTTTCAAAAGACCAAACAGTGCTGGGTTTTTTGTAACAGTGCTGTGAGGGATAGGGATCCAGGTGTATCGCAGTGGCATTAGATCATTAGTGTAGGTACTGCATGCAATGGTACTTGAAACCTTACGGCCAGTATGGGCACATTGCACCATTGATGCTATCCTACCTATTCAGTTGTATAGTTTGAATAAAAGCCACTCCCTGCCACAGCAGGGAATACAACCCAGAAGCCTAACTTCCATGCATAGCTACTTTAACCACTAAATTACAGTCCCATCTCTGAACTGAGAATAAAAATCCAGGAATCTGAATTCCCTTCCCCTCCCCTCTCCCATGTACTCACACCAGGAAACTAGGGACAGAGCCCGGGAATATGGACTCCCAGCCTCCTTGCTCTAATACTAGGCCTCACAGTCCTCCCAGAGGCCAGGATACAGCCCAGGAGTCCTGATTCCAAAACCTACTCTAACCAGTAGGCAAATCTCTCCTCCCTGAGCTGGGGAAGGAGTGCTGCCTCCCAGTTCTCCTCTCCCCCGTGTCACCACTTTGACCCCACTCCTGCCAGCTGCGAATTTCTATTACCTCTTGCTGCGAATGGGAAAACTGAAGCACCGCGTCACCTGCCCGACACCACACAGGAAGTCTGTGGCAAAGCTGAGAACTGAATGTAGATCTTGACAATCCAACTTTAATATCCGAACTAGTGAATCATCCTTCCTCTTACTGCAGCATACCTGCCCTCAGTGAATCAGGCCTAGAACCAGACCCATGGCACTTACCAGCGGTTCCTGGCTTTGCTCATCCTCTTGGGCTATAAGAGCTAGAATCTCTTCTTTTTCCTCCTCCAAAACATCCAGGTGCCTCCAGATTTGCTCCTGAAAGAATTGGAAGATAAATGTCCATGGGGCTTTGCTTCTCCTCCCCTTTGCCCCCCCAACCCAAATGTGCCCTCCAGCTTGGGTCTGAAGTGCATTGTTTAAACACAGCAGGAAAACATCACGCACATCACTAGGGTCTCAAGTGTCAATTTCCCTGGAAAATGCTCCCCTCGCCAGTAGGAAACAAGCAGCTTCTGGGCAGTTGTTGGTCCTAAACACCACAAAATGGGGAATCAAAAGGATCCGTTCTTCTGCTTGCAGCAAGCAACCCTGAAACCCACCACTTTAATCCAGGGATGGGCAAAATGCGGCCTGCGAGCCAAATGCAGCCCACCAGGCCATTTTATCTGGCTCGCAGGGCCCTTAAAAAATTTAGAAAATTAATATATATTTGTCCCTGGCTGCCTGTCATGTGGCTTTCGATGGCTTGCCAAAACTCAGTAAGCGGCCCTCCACCCAAAATAATTGCCCGCCCCTGCAATCCCTTGCTCTGGTCAAATCCTCTCCTACCTTGTATTCCTGGGCAGCCTCCTCCATAGGCACCACAGAGTGATCCTCATGTGCAGATCCAACACAAACCAGACACATGAGGGTTTGGTCATCTTCACAGTGTGGCAGAAATGCCACCGTTGGTGCCCCTCTCTAGAGACCTGTCTCTACCAGCCTGAGAGGCTGGTGTTGAACCCCTCAGGGCGGGGATCTCCCACCTTGTCTGCAGGACAAAAGCCTGGCACCTGGGAGGCATGCTCTAGTCACCTGGGCAGGGGGGGAAAGGCCCGGCCCTGCGCGGGCCCAGGTAGCCAGGGATGCCATGCAGATTGGTTGGTTTGTAGCCAGTATTGGCAGCTTCGATTGGACCGGGCTGCTGAGGTCAGGGAGGTTATTTAAGGGCCCGGTCCAGGAAGAAGGCAGCCATTTAGCCATGCGGTCATCCAGGTGAATCTGAACCTGGCTCTCTCCTCATCACCGCATGCTCCAAGAGCGCCCTGCCTCCAGAGGAAACGCCAACCACCTCTGGATGATGCGAGTGAGTAAGCTACTCGAGATCCGATTAGATATCTAGCTTACAGTAATTCAGATGCGTGTTTAAACGGCTACCTCAGCCACTCTAGTTTGCTCTATGGGATTCCTTTGATATTCCTGTAAGATTTCTATGATACTGCTCTACCTTTTACCCTATTTCTGCCCTACCCCTGTAATCAATAAAGTTCTCCTTTGTGACCGGTGTGGGAGACTTATTGAGGGGTGGGTCTAAATTATGCCAAGGAGGCCCCTTAGGTCTGTGGACTAAGGGAGACTTTCCTAAATAGCCCCTGACTTGGGGAAGTGCCCCAAGTGCCTGTATTGGGTCTAGCACCCATTGGACGATCAGACCTGTGTTTTCCAAGGTGCGCAGAGCCAGAAGGGAGTCCAGAGCCTTGGATGGTGGCAGCGGGAACCCCAGGCTAGCGGGTGTGCTCCAGGGAAGGGGTCGGCGGGACGGGAGGCACCCTAAGGGAGGCACTCGGAGCCTGGAAGGTGGGCGGGCGCAGGGAGGGGGGCGGCTCAGCAGGAGCGGCCCCAGAAGAGCTTCAGAGGCTCCTGGTGCTTTTGGCAAACCTTGTCTGCTCCCTGCTCCGGCTCTATCTCTCCCCTGAAATTCTGGAGCAACTCCAGGAGATTTCCCAGCTGTCTGTTTGGTCTGAAATTCTTCTGGGGAAAGCTCTCTCTGCATTGAGTGCAGGAAACTTCTGCATCAAACCCCTCCCAGCACTGGGTGATGCAGGCTCTGCAGAAATTGTCCCCACAGTCCAGAGTAACTGGATCCTCAAAATATTTCAGGCAGACAGAGCAAGAAGCTTCATCCTCAAAAGCCTGTGCTGGATCAGCAGCAGCCATTGAGCTTTCTGAGTAGCAGCTCAGCTGAGCAGTTGAGTAACAAGTTTCATTTCCTATTCCCAGAAATACACTAAAGCTTTTTGTAAACTACTGGGTGTTTCCTGCATGTTTGCTGGACTTTTTTTTTTTCTCCCTTTTAATCTCTATGAGCATTGCTGCCGCTGGTGCCTCTTGGGAGACAGGGCAGAGGAACTGGGTGGCAGCAGCACGAACGACTCCTTCCCTGATCTGTGCTGAAGGCCAGGTTTTTCAAGGGTAACATATTTAGGGCACTTAAAGGTTTAGATTTCCATGGTACTTAGGTGTTTATCCCACTGCTAGCTGAGGTATCACTAGACCCCTATATGCATTTTTAATCCCCTAAATACCTTTTAGAAAAAAAAGTGTCACCTCTCTTTCTCCCTCTGATGGCCAGTAGAGAGAACATAGTTCTCCTTTTCATAGCAGGCCAAGTACCCTGAACGGTTTTTTTCCTATGGGGTCCGCAGAAAGGAGTCACGAGGCAATGGACCACAGACCCGCTCTTGCTGGGTCCTGAACTCAGCACTGTTGGAGCAGGACTGAAGCAGATTCGATTCCTATAGATACATCTCAGTGGGGTAAGGGACTACAAGGACAAGGTTCAATAAGCCAGTTCCTCCACTGCAGTAATCCCTTAGGATCACTGATTTCCTCTCAGTCTCTCTTTAGCCTCCTGCCCTCTCAGGTCCTTAGGCTACCCACCAGTTTCTGACATTTCTTTTGATCCGGGGCTTGTCTGTTCAGGCCCTGCCTTACCCGGGTGTCAATCAGGAGTGGCACTATAAGGGCCAGGGGACTGAGTCCTGCTTTGTTCACACCAAACTTTGGGGCAAAGCATCCACACCTGAAGACAGGAGGGTGCGATCCAGGCTGACCTGGACAGGCTCAGCAAGTGAGCGGATGAGAATCTGATGGTGTTCAACGCCGATAAATGCAAGGTTCTCCACCTTGGGAAGAAAAACCTGTAGCATCCTTATAGGCTCGGCAGTGCTACGCTGGCTAGCACTATGGAAGAAAGAGACTTGGGGGTCATCACTGACCACAAGATGAACATGAACCTGCAATGCGATGCTGCAGCTAGTAAAGTA